CACAGCTGACTGATTAATTACCTACTGAAAAATCTGGCTAACAAACCATCCATCCAGTTAGATCTTTATTTGCAGGCTCTGAGCCTTACTGAATATTGTCATTTAAAAAAAATACTGCCCTGTTTTTCTTTCTAGAAAGGAAAAATATTGGCCGACGTGTTATCCCATTGGAATTAATCACAATGCAGTTCACATTACAACATGCAAAGTAACATGTGTAATGCAGCCTGACGTGAAGAAGATAGTAGTAACACCACAAAAGGAATGAGTTATGAATAGTTCCAATGCATCTCTGGGAACACTGCATTATGAAGAGACCTCTCCAACCTCTGTGGGGCTCATTTAATCAAGGTGTTTGGGAACTGATCCCTGCAGTTTGTTTCACGGGGTTGGAAGTGAACCCACCTTTGCAGATTCAGTGGGAGGCGTGGGGTCAATGACGTTAAGCCTTTAAAGGTAACTCCCAGCCCTCTAGAGCAAATCTGAGAACCTCTTGCCTCCTACCTTATATGTCTTTAGGGGGAGAGGTGACTGGAGTTGTCACACAGCTGTTGAGGGTTCACGGTGTTTTCCAAGGCATACTGTATGGAAAACCTTCATCGCCTGTTTGAAGAAATCTGACCTGCATGGGCTTAGGTTTACTGGCACAGGCCAAACTTGAACCCAGGCTGTTGCATTTGTGCTGAACATTTTCCACAGCTGTAACCGTGAGGCAGAATCCTGGAGGCAAACTAACTCAGGCCCTTCTGAGCTGGTGGCTTAACTACGTCTCTAGGGTGTCACTGATTTTATCAGATATCTTTATTACACTTTTGTAACATTGGGTCAATCGCTCCCTAACCACAGATTTCAGTGTCTCCATACCCCATTCGGGCAATACCAAGTGCCAGCAGCTGGAATTGCACAAACAGTAAGTGCAACACTTTATACAGCAACACCAGGAAGAGACAGGCAGGGGATCTCTTGTAAATATTTCATTAAACACTGAAACACAGAAAGATGTTGTCTGAAAACAGATTCATTTTTCTGAGCAGACAATAAGGTAGGGAAATAGTCATCTTAATCCCCGGTAATTATTGCTGTGATAGAATGTCCCCAAAACACACTTTCTCCATGTAGCCCCTTGAAAAAGAAGTTTCTGCAGCATAGAGGGTGGGGAAAGATAGGTGTTTGGGGCCAGCTTCTGCCCTCAGATGCATGCACATAGCTCCCACTGATCACATGTCTGTCTGATGGGGAAATTTGGCTCTTAGAATGCTAGTGTGTCATCTGAGTGAGATAGGTCTAGTGCTTTATAACATGAGGCAAAGCATGAGAATTTTCAGGCCAAGTGTTTTTGAGGTTCTTTCTAAAGTTATAAGGCAAAAATCAGGCTTAGGCTAGAATATTGGTTAATCATAGGCCCTGATTTTGCAATGTGATGGACATAGGTGAAGCCCTCTGCACCTGCATGGCACCCTGCTGAATTGGCCTCTGTGTGGTTGCTACTGTCTGCTCACATGCATCCCACAGCAGGGATCTCATGCATCCTTGAGAACTCCTTCTACTTGTGTATATTAATTCCTACCATGAGGAGACCCATCATCTCAATGGGAGTACTCACAGTAGCAAGCACTACATCTAGTAGAAAGTGTTTGCCTTGCTGTGTCTATCCTATGGAGCTATGGCGCCATCATACATGGTTTTTCTGTAAATCTGTGGTCCTGGGGAATCTGGAAATGGCATATCCCTGCTAGCTGGCTGTTTGATTTAACCATGGAATTAGATGAACATTCAGAAAACAAATGGGCCCAGTTCTCTCGTCACTTCATGCATGACGCTCCCATTGAAGAGTATGGTTTTTATTGGTAGGTTTCTGAAAAAAAAAAGGAACAACTAGAATGGCTCCCAAGGAGGGTGTCTTGTGGGAGTTTCATGCACAGAGCAGCTACAGAATCAGGCCATTAGCTGATGGCTTGTTTGTTTGTTTGTTTTTTTAAACTATGAACAACTCTTCATGGTTATCCTATTTCTCTGAGAGCTTTCAGCACGGGTTCTGACAAAAGTTAAACACAGAAATTCAGAGGTTCATGCGCCTTTCAATGCATGTATAATTTTCATATGAATTCTCATGCAGAGACTTTACCCATAAGTACCTGGGTAAAATTTCATGACGAGATTTATCTCCTTTAAGACAATTGCTGTTGTCCCCTCCCCCCAGCCCCTTTCTCTGCTAATTATATCTTATAAGTCCCTCACTATCTAAATCCAGACATTAACATTTCGTTACCTACATTCTGTAGTCAGACGTTGCAAAGATATCTAACACATGTTATAAAAGTTATTACTATGGTACTATATATAAACAGCTTTGCATAAGAGAATAGAAGTCTGCCATATTTAGAAAATGCAGGTGCTATGTAAGCCCCTTTTTGAAAGAAAGAACTTAGCTCAGTTTCCTTTGAAGAACCAGAGACTTGAAACTGAAAACTTTATTAATGCCATTGTCTCCTTGTATCAGCAGGTTCCAGAGAGATTCCTGGAAGTGGCTCAGATCACGTTACGAGAGTTTTTCAATGCCATTATCGCAGGCAAAGATGTTGATCCTTCCTGGAAGAAGGCCATATACAAGGTCATCTGTAAGCTGGACAGTGAGGTCCCTGAGATTTTCAAATCCCCAAACTGCCTACAAGAGCTTCTTCATGAGTAGAGATTTCAAAAACTATTTATGAATGTATGAGAAGTAGCAGTCCCCTTTTGATGCCCAAGTTGTGTGTGTCTTTATTTTAATTTCCTATATAAGTATATCATATACATATATATGTGTATGAAATCAGACTATAGGGGCTTTTTTTTTGGTCAGTTACAAGGGGGAATAGTTATTTTACTTCACCCTTCAGTTTACTTTTGCCCAAGACCCTTAACATTTGGAGAATAAATGGGGTTAATTTTCAGGGAGAAGAATTTTGAAGTGTGTAAAAGCCTGTCTTAGCAAGTTAGGGCATTATGTTTTAAAATGCTTTGTCAGATTTATTGCTTGCTGCAAAGTGGCATTTTGTCTGAGTGAGACTCATGTCACGGCACAATATTACAAACAATGAAGTTTATATTATGTTTATACTGCTAAAGGTCTGAACTCTGTGAAGTTACTTCATAAGCTTAGAGCATTATTTTATTTTATTTTACTTTGCTTTTTAACAAATAAGGTAGATTTTGTTTCATATTTTTAAAAACTACAAACATCCATTTTAGGTTCTCACTCCAAAAAGTGATACCCCAAAAAGGCAAACCCTATTCTTCAAGCTTTCCCTTACAGGAATAACATGTACCCTGCCCCAGTAATTAACATGCCAGGTAATTTTTTTTTATTGAGGCAAAGCAATTTTGCACAAAACAGATACTATTCTTGCAGGGGGAAGCCAGTAATTCATGCACAATATTGTATCAACCACACTAATTTTATAATATGGTCAGCTTACTTAACCGGAAGCATTTCACTCTCTATAAAGTAAAAACAAAACCTTTCATCATGCTATATTGCTGTGTGTTGGTCATATTTTAATTGGCTCTTAGCTCTTGAAATTTATTCTTTACTCAGTTTTTTTTTCCAGGCATAAAAAGATTGCTGCCTATATTTGATAGTTAGTATTTTGCCCTGAAAATCAATTTTTTGAATTACCTTTATATAGCAAAAGAAAGCATTTTAGCCCAAAAGCTCTGAGGCAAAAAGGCCCTTTGTTTGTAGCTGTAAAATATAATCAATCTTTACCTAGTCACAATCATAAAAATAACATTTTTATAAAAATCCAGTAAACCACCCACAAAATTTACAGTAGTGTACTGTTGGCTAAGCAGAGTTAAGATGGCCAAATTTAATTTTTGCATTACTGTTAAGTGCATCATCAAAAACAAATCTATCTGATCAGAGTGCCACATTTGCGTTCTAAAGCAGAAGATGGTATTGACCAAAATATGAGTACAGTGTAAAGTATATGAAAGTTTTGGATTCAGCTGAATGATATGTCACAATATGTGAACATAATGCAAGAAAGCTAGCTGCTAGTTTTTATGCTTTCTTCAGTGGTTCTCCTTTTTCTTTTCACATTTTCAAAAAGGTATAGTGTCCAATAGTTTGGGGTTGTTGTTTTTTTTAAAGATTCTGTGGCACTATGTATTTGTTATTTTCTCTGTCATCTTTTGCACAGATGCAGTAAGAATTTATTGTTATTTTGAATTGTATTTTCCCCTTAGGTAATTTGATACAAATCTAGAGAAAGTTACAGAATAGCCAGTAATATTTAGACCATCTAGGACATCAATATTTTATTTCTTTAACTTTATTTTAAAATTGCATTTTGACTTTGGAGAGTGAAAGTTTACCCATGTGACTAAAGAGCTGACCTGATCATTGCAATTTCACTTCATTTACAAATACTGCTGATAGACAGAAATGTATGAAAGCAATTATTGTCAGCACAAAGCCTTAAAAACCTGCTGACTTCAAATTAAACAGCACAATCCTGCGATGCCCTGTCATTATTTTCAAGTACTGGCAGTATCTGTGGAGTATAGGCAATGCAGACAATAGCATGGGATGAAGTGCCAACATTTTCACTATGCATTAAAAGCAAAACAAATCTTCTTGATCTTAAACTCCCTGTGAGTAACTAATACTGTAGGCATCCATAGAGTAGACAGCATGTGTCATTCTTTTATTTTGTGCATGATTTGGTAACTATTACACTTCGTAAAGATGTAAATCCAATCAATTCCAAGTAAGAAAGAAGGAAAATTGTGTTCATGCACTTTTTTTTTCTTTTTTATTGTTATGGGAGGAAGGGGCATAAAATGCTCAAGTTCTAATACGATTAGTTCTTCACTGGCAACCCATCAAATACAAAATATAACACTGCATTGCCTCCTTGGACATAATAAAGTAAAGCCATACTTTAGTCATACTATATGGACACATTACTAGATACCATCTTGATCTGTGATATAACCATTACTTTTATTATATTATATTCTTATTATTATTATATTATTTGGCTGCAATGTGATTCTAATAATCTAAATAAGTGAAACTGTGTACTCAACACTAGATGTTGTTGCATTTATTTATTTATTTATAAATAGCATAATCTCAATAGTAAATGAGGCATAGGAATTAAGAGTAGAAATTTCATTTTAAAGAGAGAGAAAAATCAGTTTTTTGACCTGGAAAAAAAAATTGGATCATTGCAGTTATGGTGATTTTACTGCGTTATAGCCATATTGCCTTTGTGCCTCCCAATGCATTTAAAAATATAAAGATAAATATACGGCATAACTCTTACTAAATTGTAAATAGAAATCAGAATCTTTCAAACAATCTCAATACTGTTTACTTAAAAACAATGGCTAAAAGGCAGGAGGCTACTTTTATTGTAACGAAAAAAGTTTACGTAGGGAAAGAATTTAAAAATCCATGTAGAAATCCCATGTTGCCATTCATTTACTGCTAATTCAGATTTATTTCTGCATATAAACTTGAGGTTGTAGTCTGTGCCTAGACCTTAAATGCACCAGCGGAAGGATTAAAAAAATCCTTCAAAATACCAGTTTTTTCCCCACAAGTACAATTGTTCTTGTGCCTTCTGTGGCTTACAATTTTCATCTTTTAAACATTTTTTTTTCAATTACTACAGCTGCAATAAACACTAGATTTTTTTTCCCGGCTGTTTGACATAATGTTGATAGCTATGCATATTTTGTGTCTTTTTAAAAAATTTAAAAAAACAAAACAAAACAAAGCAGGAGAATACGTTTTTGAAGAAGAGAATTTTTAGAACAGTTTGATAATGCAAATTATTTTTTTCTCAATTGTTTGAGCAGCATTCAAGTTTTGAAAATTCTTGTAGAAGCCAATTTTTTGTAACTGTGGTGCAAATCTTGTGTTTTCTTAGCATATTGAAAAGTAGTATAGAAGCAATATTTCATACGCAATATCTATGTGTATACATATACACACACATATACATACATGTAGACATTACATAGATATGTTTTTATGTATATACACACATAAAATATGCGTATGAAGTGAAAAGCTTACCTTTTTCCTATCTAGATTAAGAACCTATTTTAGACATTTGTTATGTTTTGTGAAAAGAATGTTCTATTTGAAATTACAAAACATTTAATTCTTACTGTATCTCTGGTTGTTTAATGGGAACGTTTCACACTAAATGGTAAACATGTGGAAGATGTTAGAATGTAGTAATTATTTAAGGAAGTGTTCACCCATGTATTCCTGAGGTTTGCTTTGTGCCTCTGAGTATTATTTAATTAAAAGTGTTTTAAGTTTGCAGAATCTTTGTTACTGTACCAGGTATGTGGGTGAACATCGAAAACTGAGGGGAACTTTTATAAAGCAATGTAAATATTCAATCTTATGGTTGTTCTTGCATAAAGACATAAGATTTTAATAACTACATTCTGAAAACATCTGCTGAAATTTATAAGAAACACTACAGTAACTGTATAGATAGTTGAAAGCATTCTTGAAAATCCAGCTCTCTACTTTTAAATGATAAGTCTCTTTCATCAGATGTCAAGGGCATAGGTGATACAGTTTCTGTACAATTACACAATTTTTTTCTATGTACATGAAGTCATTTAATAGCAAAATGTTTTTTCCACAGGTTAATGTTAACTAAGAAATAAGGGTGAAGATTTTGTGGCTTTAAAGATAGGATTTTCACCAGCAGCATTGAAAGATATATATATATATAGATATAGATATATATATATAGAAAAAAATGGAAAGTGGTTTACAAAACCCCCAAAATGAGCACTGTACATGAGAAGTGAAAGCAAAAACTATATTTGCCATGTGTATTATATAGAAATCATTGGTGTTAATAGTGCAAATGTTTCCTTCTGGTACCAACTATGTGTTTGAAAATTCCAATAAGCATTGTTTTCAAAAAGCTCCCCTTAAGGAATGTAACTGGTTTATATGAGTAAGCAGTTACTGTATTGCACTTAAATGTTCTGTTGAAGGAAATGCAATTTTGTTTTCTGTAGAACTGTTGGTTGTAAACCATCTATAAACTGAAGCTGAAAATGCTCATATTTAGAACTGGGATGAAAACTGGTATTTAACCTTTGCATCTTCTTAGGAATATCTTTTTTAATGTATGAAAGGTGGTGGCATTGTGACTTTTTAGTCTCTTCATCTGAGCCACAATCACCTCTCTTCCCTAAGCAGCCACCTTCAAAAATGCACAATTGTACTAGGATACGAAGAAGCAAATCTAGAAGAAACAACAAGTTGATATTTTACCTAAAACCCATCCTTGCTGCAAATTTTAAAATGCATTAAAGTACTGCTCAAGTGGGGAAAAACCCAACAACAAAAACTATAACAAGAATTTATTATTTTCATGTAATATGAAATCAGGAGTCAGAAAAATGCATCTTAAGTTGGTTTTACTGCTGCCCAGAAGAGTCAAAGGTTAAGGTTTAAACTGATATTGTCCCAGCCATTACTCATATGTATATAGTTACAAAAGTGACAAAACACTGCCTTTATATTATTTAGCAATATGTTGTAAATAGCATTATTAAGCTCTTTTTTGTAATAAAGACCCTTTAATTTGAAGATAGAACAATAACTGAACTGATAAAGTCAATTTTTGATTTTTTTATTTTATTTTTTAGCTAGAGGCAATTTCAACTGTGGATTTTTTGTTGTTGTTGTCTATTGTTCTGAAGACTTTGCATAATTTATTGGTTTAATTTATCCTAATTTATTTGATGAAGGTGTACAATTTTGTATTACCAAGGATGTACTGTAATATTAATTGATGATATGATAAAAACAATAAGACTCCCCTGTCCATATGGAAAAAAAAGTGCAGTAGACAATTGACTGAAAAAAAGTTACAATTCTAGCTTGGCAGCTACTAAATTAAAAAGAAAAGAAACAGGAAAAAAATTGGGGGGGGGGGGATTTTATTTTGTGTGTTTTAAGCTTTTGTATACTCTCCAGACTTTTACCTTTTTGCTTTGTACCACTTAAAGGATACAGTAGTTCAATTGCCTTGTGTGCCTTCCATCTTCTCTAAACTGAATGTATGTGCAGTATATATGCAAGCTTGTGCAAAATAAAATATAAATTACAAGCTCATTGCCATTGTTTATATTTCTTTCTAAAAAATATTTCTTTATTGAGTCCCAAAACAAAATGTGAATCACTGGAATCAATTTACTGTGAGCGATTGTAATCCCATTTACGGTTACGCCCCAGCCCCACCCCCCATTTGGAATTATTTGTTAATGAAACCTGCCGTCTATCTTACAAAACTAATATATATTTCCTATGGCATTTGGGATGCCTACAGTAAACAGCTATATTCTGTTCCTACAACTTGCTGCTGTTATTAAATGTTATTAAATGGCACCTTAGGCCCAGATCCTGTAAACACTTATGCACATGCTTAACTTTAAGCACGTAAGTGGTATTCATGTATTTAAATGCAAAGAAACCGTATAAAGTCTCCATCCCACAAATACTTATGCACCTGTTTACCTTTAAATTCTCCATTATAATTAAAAACATAAACATAGCAATTGCCATACTGGCTCAAACCAATGATCCATCTAGTCCAATATCCTATTGGCCAAGATGTAAAACCTCCACAATGCATGTAATTTTGTAATATATCACACGATTTTTTTTCCTGACTGCCTGATGTGCAGGTCATGTCCTAAAGCATTAGAACTGGCAGCCCTTTAGACCAGTTTCAGCTAGAATAATCTCAGAAGCTATTTTTATTCATGACAGCATTTAATCATTTCCCCAGTGTATTTGCTTCATCAATGTCTTGTGACAGTGAGTTCCACAAGTTACTTAGATGTTGCATAAAGAAGTATGTCCTTTGACATGGTTTATGTTTGCGCCTTTTATTTCATCAACTTTCCCCTTGTTTTTATACCATCATAAAAGAAGCAGCATCCACATGGCAGCCTCTATCATTTTATCATTATTTTAAATACATCTATTAGGGATCCTCCTTTCCAAACTAAATAGTCCTCAGCATGTTATGCTATCCTTATGCAAATTAATTCCTTACATGCTATACCTCTAATAATTTTAATTGTTCTTCTCTACACCTTGACTATTTCTGATGTTGGTTTTGATTAGTTGGTTGTTTTGTTTTGTTTTTTTAAGACGAGAAAAACAATGTAGCAATCAAGATAGGAATGTATCATTGGTTTACATTAAAATACTTCTGTATTCTTTTCTTTCCCTGTCTTAAGTGAGTCGAGCATCTGATTAGCCTTGAACTGATATACGTGGGCTTTTATAGGGTAGTTTATTTTCAGCATGCAGTCGCTGACATTATTTTTTTTTAAAGGAGAAGTGTCTTGTAAATGTTTTCATCTAAGATCATTTCTTCTCAGATTTTTGAGTGATACAGCCTTTAGAGACCACAGCAATGATCTGAGGGCAGTATATAGCCTTTAGCTTACATTCAAACTACCAAATGAGTACTTCATCTCTCCACCTGTAATTAAAACTGTGGGTCTTTGAGAGCTCTGTGGTACAGTGTAATCATACTATGGGATAATGTCCATTAAAGGCAATGGAATTGCATCCATAAGACCAACAGTGATTTCGGTCTGAGATGTTCTCCTTTGACCTCTATCGCAAATAAATTCACAGGTGGTTCTCTTTTCACTCCCCACTTAGACACATTACAAACCTACCACACCACTGGTCAGGAATTGTGCTGCTCAGGACTATTTCTTAAGAAACTGGCTGACACATGGGAATTTGCTAATTTTCTGGGTTATCTGGGGGGCTGTCAACACCGGGCCATGAATGATGGAGGTCTGACAAGATTAACAGGAGGGCTGTGCTGACACTCCAGAAAACCTTACCTTCAAACCTGTGCTCCTATGGCTTCAGAACGGCCATAAAGTCCAGGAGGAAGCTGCTATGGGACCCCAAAATGGCTAAATGCTGGGAGGGGGTAGCTAATGAATAAGAGCAGGCAAGCAAGGAGAGAGAGGCTAGCCATTTGCTCAGCCAAGGGCAGAGCAGGGGCTTATGGAAGAAACGAAAATTATGTGGGACAGCTTGTTTTGAAGGGGGGGGGGAAAGGGCATTTACTAGCTCAAAGAGAGTGGCATGGGCATGTCTTGTGTTGAGGCTGGCATTTGGGGGAGATAGCCCTCAGGTTCCAAGAAAGGGTACCTCAGGGTCCCAAGAGCTAAGGTGCATTGGGAGAGCTGTATGCATAGTGGCTACCGCCACTCAGCCTGTCTGTAGACAGTGCAGTTAGCCCCTCACAATTCTGTCATGACATTTCCCTCCCAAAATAAATCTATTCTTTGAAATACAAAACACCGTTTCTCATTTTACCCTGCATTTGGAAGTGCAAAGAGGTTCAAACTCAGAGCATTGGGGACGTTCAGCTCTAGACTGGAACTTTGCAACTAGCCCCTATCTTTCTAAGCAGCCAAGCCAAACTCCCCTGGCGCCAAATGCCCTGGACGTTTGGAGAAGTTCAGTGCCACACTTTACAGCTCTATTTGGAAGTTCCTCAGCACTGCTATGTGGAATTTTCCAATTAGGTAAATCTCTCTGTCATGACAATAACACTGAGACCTAATAGGTCTTCCCCATCACTAGTTTCTACAAGACCGAATGCAGAATGTTGCACTGTGGTTTGCGCATGCAGGGGTTAATTGCTCTCATTCTCTTGGTCTCTACCCCTATTTATGCCCAGCCTAGGCTGTGCCAATACAATTTCCATGGAGATGATCATTCTGAGTCTTCCCTCTCTGTTAAGAGGAACAGCGAATTGACTGTTGCGTTGCTGATCTATTACCATCTTTTGGAAATGAAGGGAAATAAATAAGTCACGCCTCGGGATGCGTTGCAGCATTTCCCCCAAACAAAAGGATCTGATTCAATGCAGATTACCTTTTTTTAAAAAAAAAAAGCTCAAAGGATGTACCGTATATAAGAATACAGCACAGACCAAAAGAGAAAATAAGATACGTGATTAAACATACTGTTTAGTAGCTGTGGAAAACATACTTTGTGATACCATAATTCTTAAAGTCATAATAAATAAACTGGAGGGTGCATGTTTTTGTTTTCCCCCTTGGTCTGAAAGGATATGTCTGCACAGCATTTTGGAGCCTCCCAGCCCAGGTTAATACTCTATAAATAGCTGCATTGTCAGTGGGTTGACGTTGTGGCTTGGCCTGGAGCCTGAGCTCTGAAACTCACCCCCTCCCCCCAGACTTCAGACCCAAGACAACGTCAAAACACTGGCTACACAGCTATTTGTAGAGCACTAGAGAGAACCTGTCCACCTGTGTGTAGACGTACCTGACGAATCCGAGTCGTGTAACTTTCAGAGCATATTGCAAGGTCTATCTGTTTTCCCAGGAATTCAAGAAAGGGAAGGGGTGAGAGTGGTTTAAAGATTGATGGGGGAGTCCATAATTTATGGTTTATTTTGGGGGTTTTTTAATGTACCTAGAAGAGGTGAAAGGAGAGGTGCAGAATTTTGCAGCAGTTCAAATCAAACCTGTTTGGCTCAGGTTAGCCTGGCGCCTTTCAGACCTGCAGCGCATAGTGAAACACTGACTCCCATGCAAAGAATGGAATTCCCCACCACCGCCCTCTGCCCAGAGGCCGGGAGAATGGGACTGCATTTTTATGAATAAATCCTTGTCAAATGAATAGCGGTACTTTCCTATTTATTTGGGAGTCAGTGTTAAAACAAGCTATTTGCTTCATAACAAAACGCACGACAATGAGCTGCTATTTGTGCTCAAAGGAAGTTAATTGCATGCACAGTTTAGTTTTATTCTTTAAAGTTAAGCTATGTTTGGGTCTACAGCTTGGCAACAAAAAGGCACACTAGTAGTTAAAGAAACACTACCAGTTCTCCGGTCTCAGTTTGCAAGAGACACGCCAGTTGGGCAGCTGTGGGAAGTGACAGGGGAGAACGCATGTTGGAGAAAGTCTTGTGGCAACAGTGGCCAGTTTCATTATGGCCACTGCCAGACTGTGAAACAACTCTTGGGGCTTGAAATCCTATTGCCTATTAAAACTGGGCATGACGGCTCTTTTTTATGCTTCACCAACCAGAGATAGAGCTGGGTCCTAGGGGAAATAAGGAAAAATATTTATTACAAGTGTTTAACACCTTTTAGTACAAAACAACCCTACTATGCAGCACTCAAGGATAATTCATGCCAGCCCATGTAAAACCAAGGGAAATCGCTGATAAACTCAATAATTTGGTCCAAGCTTTCAAAGGAAGAGATGAACCCCCCAATCAAAATCCCAAGTCCAAACTCCCTGAATTTTGGGGTGCTTTAGATCCTTTTTCATAATGGTTACTATCCCTAGTTCAATAATTTGCTAAAACCCTGGATTCTGACAACCCGCCAAAATTGGGGTCTGACTGAACCCTGGATTTAGATTGAAGAGACACCATTTAAAATGGAGATGTAGCCACATTAGAGGCCTGGCTACTGTGGTGAGCGTATTTAGTAGAAGTGGGCCATGTCACAAAACTCGGATCTGGATCTTGAACACCTCTGTGCAGGGCTTTGGTTCTTTATGAAGACAATTAAGTGTCATTATCCCCATGTTACAGATGGGGAAACTGAGGCACCGGTTGGTGATGTGACTTGCCCAAGGCCAAACAGTAAGTCAGTTGCAGAGCCAGGAATAGACCCAAGCTCCCTGGACCCCCCCCCCCCCACTCTCATGTTCAGTACACTGCCAATCTTCTGTGTTACTTATTAACATTTACTGTTACTTGTTAACAGTCTGGACAAGGTCTTCATGGCCAGTCCTTGAAAAGCACCCATTTTAAATTGTGCAATCTGCATGCTGTTACTGTTCCAGTTTTATTTCCTAATATAAGTGCTGCTATCTGGCATCCTTTGCATCCTATGATCTACCGGCGTCAATATTTTTTAATATTGTTTACCCAGTGATATGCTTTCCCGGAGTTAAGGAGATACAGAGATATTGGTGGTGCTCATCTACATGCTACTGTCACTGTTTGGGGATGTTCTAGTGCCTGTTTTTCCTGCACCTTCTGGAGAGTGGGGAAGGGGCTAACGACTGTACAGCATT